TTAGTTTACACTAATGAGCTACCTTTTGCTCTTCAGCTTCCTCCCACTGTATAGCCTGATGTGTTTTGCTGCGTGAGTGTGCCGTAGGCTTGTCTCCCAGTCTTGACCAGGTGTCTCATCTTTACACCTCTCTCACAACTCCTATCAGAGTTTATTTCTAATGGAAGAGGTTCATATGATAAAGAAAAAACCAGCCAATCCTCAAACCGCGATAGAGGTGAAAAATGCTACTTTGGCTTGGGACTTCTCCCACGCCAGCGTCCAGAGCTCACCAAAGTTGACCCCCAAAGTGAAAAAAGACAAGAAAGTCGCAAAGAGCAAGAAGGAGAAAATGAAGCTGCAAAGTGAGGGACAGCAAGCTGTGCTGGCAGAGCAGAAGGGCCATCTTCTAGTGGACAATGATGACCATCCTAGTCCTGAAGAGGAGAACAAAATCATCCACCTGGTTAACCTTCGGCTTCAGAGGGCTCTCTACAACATTGACTTGGAGATAGAAAAGGTGAGAGAAGGAGAAATTGATCTGGTCTCTCAAAACACCTGTGGAACAGAATATGTGTATTTTGCACAAAATGGAGCATGTTGCTATTTGTACACTTCTGTAATATCCATGGCAACTGCAGTAGCTAAGCACCTGTACCTGATCTTGATGTGAATGGCAGTGCTCCTTTTTTTTTTTTTTTTTTGCAAGCAAACCCTGCAAACAGCATCTGAAGCACTGTAGGATGTATAGCTGTCACACTGTTGCATTTAAGTCAGGATTTTGCTGTTTGTAGCACCCAAAATGGTGCATGACCACTGAACTTAAAGAATCAGTAAGGCAAAAGATACCAGTGTATCAGTAGAGGGTTTATTCCTGCAACCGTTTAATAATTTTGTGGACTTTCACCCATACTCTGGATGAGCTTCTGCTGAGACAGGCCTTGGTGTTTTGAGCTGAGTTCACTATTCCTTGAGAGCTCCAAATCAGAGTAAGCTGATGTTAAACCTGTGAAAGTTTTTCATCTGTGTTATTTATTCAGCTTTAGCCTATAATGGGACAGTGATCACTGTCTGTTTTTTTTCTTAAGTTAAAATATTGGCTTTTTTATGTGACATAGTGTCTTACTGTCCCCTCTGAAATATGGTAGCTTGTTCAAATTCTGAATAGGATGGTGGAATGTAAATAATAAGTATCTTTTTTTTTTTTTTTCCCCTGCCTAGGGAAAACTTGTTGGAATCTGTGGTAGTGTGGGGAGCGGAAAAACTTCACTTATTTCAGCTATTTTAGGACAGGTGAGAAATTCTGTTTTGGTTTCCATGCTCTTCTCTTTCCTATATCCTATTTCACTTATTTTGGAAAAGTTCATTGCCGTTATACCCTATAGAGGAAAGGCCATTCTAAACACAGATTAATTTTCAGATTTTTGTCTTCTGATCCAGATGACCCTGCTGGAAGGCAGCATTGCAGTAAGTGGAACATTTGCTTATGTGGCCCAGCAGGCCTGGATTCTCAACGCGACACTTAGAGACAACATTCTGTTTGGAAAGGAATATGATGAAGAAAGGTTTGTCAGAACCGCTTGCTGATTTTTCTAACAGCTCAGTAATTCTTGACCCAAGGTGGAAAAATTTCATGTTGCCTCTCTCTCCTTTAGAGTCTGCCTTTAGGACTCAAATGAGTCTCCTTTGAGAGCCTCCCACCCCTACGTGTGGTCACCGTGGCTGGTGGCTCTCAGGGCTTCTGTCATCACTCTTTTGCAGTGGTGGCTGTAGCTCATGTTCGAGTACTGTGTGACCTCTGCTTGTAGCAGCTGCTGTGTCTTTTGCCCTTGCTGTCCTGGCCTTGTGCCTTCTAAACAACTGCTACTTGTAATGTGCTGGCACTTCATTCAGCCCTTTCCCAGTGTGCACCTTCTCTTGGGTCTGTGCTGGTTATCTCTGGAAAGAATTTGCCTCTTTACCTGTATAGTATTTCAGAAGTAGGTAATAAAGTGCTGTCCTCAGTTTCTTGGGAATCCAAGACAGATCATCTGCTTTAGACTGCTGGAATGTCTGATATTTATGTAAAAAGTGAGATAATGCTGTGTTACCTAGACGCTTTGAGAGAAGAAGAAGAAAAAAAACTTACTGCTGATCTAACTCATATTCTTTAGATATAATACTGTGTTGAATGGTTGCTGTCTGAGACCTGATCTAGCCATCCTTCCAAATGGAGACCTGACAGAGGTACAGATTTTATTTGTAATAAAGATAGAGGAAATCAGGATTTTGGCTTGGTATACCAGTGTGGGGTGAGGGGGACATCAGTCTGTTATTCATACAAGTCGAGCTGCCAAATGACTTATTGCACCTTACTGAGTTTATCAATATAGTCCTGGACTACTGATACTGAATTGTGTTGAGTTTTGGATTTGGAAGTTGATAGTTGGGAATTTTTTCATTGTATTGTAAATTTAGTTGCCTTTACAGGCCCTATTTGAATTTTATTTAAAATAGCTATGAAAATTATGGCCGTATTAATACAATAAGAGTAAAATAAGCAAAAAGCTACTGTCATATGTGAAGCATATTAGCCTTGATTTGGTCATATAATACATTTCACAGAGAAGTGGACACTTATGTCTATAAAATACATGTAGTATTGAATGGACTGTTTCGTTTCAGGCACCTCACAAACTCAGTGGGTTTTTCTGTGTTGCGGTGTTGTAGAACCAAACTAACAACTGTTATTGCATCTGTGCAGATTGGTGAACGAGGGGCTAACCTGAGCGGAGGCCAGCGTCAGAGAATCAGTCTGGCTCGAGCACTGTACAGTGATAGGAGCATTTATATCCTCGATGATCCCCTCAGTGCCTTAGATGCTCATGTGGGAAATCACATTTTTAACAGTGCAATAAGGAAGCACCTGAAGTCAAAGACTGTCCTCTTCATCACGCATCAACTTCAGGTACTACATTGCTCTTTCTTTGAGTTTTCTGAGGTGGTGTGTTAGCTTTCCTATTGAATGTTTCTGTGCTGTGACCCATTACAGCACAATCCTATTTCTCTAGGATGCATCGTTTAGGTTTACAACCTAGGTTTGCAAGTGTGCACAGAACACAGTCTGATCCTTTGGCTGATAGTGGTGCGTATTTGGCTGATGGGAACTGGCAACATTTAGCTAAAGAAATTTTACCAGAAACACAAATATCTTATTCAGAAACATTTTTTTTCCATGAGTTTTGTTTATCACATCAGAAATGTTTAGTTTTCATATCAATGATGTATTCTGCAATTTTTTGTCCTTTCTATGCATAGAAATATTACTAATTGATATATCAGGATTTGCAGGATTTCAATATCCTGAATTCTGTCTTGCATAACGGATTGTCTGTGATAGAACACACAATTTTTGTGCGTGTAAAGTGAGACTAATCATATTAGTCAGCACAGGCCCTTCAAAAAAAAATCAGGTGTCTGGTACCTGGGAGGTTTGTTACTTCACTCCTCTCCCCATCGCCAAATGTTTCTAAATTACCGAAAAAGCTCGTGTAGGCTTGTGCCTGATAATTGGGCAGAATGATAAAAGCTTGTTCTTGCTGCCATTGTCTACAGTATCTTGTTGATTGTGATGAGGTGGTTTTCATGAAAGAAGGCTGCATTACTGAGCGAGGAAGTCACGAAGAACTGATGAATTTAAATGGTGACTATGCAACCATTTTTAATAACCTGCAGCTGGGAGAAACACCACATATTGAGGTACTTGTTTTTCCATTTTAAAGCACTTTGACTTTTCTAATGAGATTAACAAAATGACGTAGTTCAAAGATGACTGGAAAATGGCTTCATGTCTTGATCTGACCATAAATTTCCTTTTGAAGTTCTAACTTGTATTTGTACTTAAGGGTTCTATTATAAAGATATTAATTCTGCTAGCAAGCTGAAATGAACATGAAATAAACCTGTCATTTCTTCTGGTGATGCTCAGAGCAGAAAACTTCTCCTTTCTTCCGTTGTACACCTCATTTTTTAACTTGCCTTCAAACTGTCTGATGGGGCCCAGCCTTTGTCCAACAAGTTCTTTCTAGATATTCCCCTCTTTTTTCACATAGCATGTGACTATTGAGGCACAGCAACAATGATACAACTTGTCCAAAAATTGTTTGTGACCGTAACTTGGAAATGTGACTCTGAAAATGCTTTGTTTCGTGGAGTTTGAGGGGAAAAAAAATCCTGTTGCTTGGAACTGCTTCTGTTTTGAAGCAAATGCTCTAAATGAAAACTGGATTTGTGTTTTTGTCTTCTAGTCAATGGATCATCCTTTCATGTTTACAAAAAAATGTAAATAATGAACTGTAAAATAACGAGAACCATTCACTAGGACATGTATTTAAAGCTTAAGCTATTTAATTTTCCTGCCTTCCCCTGCTTGTTTCTTAAAGATATTTTTTAGAGTTAGTAACTTTGCTACTTTGATTCTAGAATTTTCTCTGCTTGAAAGTTGCGTGTGTTTTTTCTTAATAAGAGACTAAAAAGCCCATCAGTTTATTTTTAAAAAGTGACAAGCTCTCTATTAATAAGTACAGACATAGAAAATAGAAGTTTCTGAAAAGGTGGCATTGTAATAAATGGAGTAGGATTTTTTTGGTAGGGTTTTCTCCTGGGAGATGAAAGAAGCGAAGGAATGTAAAGCATTACCCTGCATATCCTTTCTCAGGCATGAAGATTATAGTCTGGCCATTCTAAAATTAATGTAATGACAGTTAACATGAGATCTTCCAGCCTGCTTGCTTGGCTGACCTTCACTCTTTGTAAGCTCTGCCACACACGGAAGGAACGTTGGTTTGTATTCCCTGTGGGGCTGGAAGAAAGGGATGTGGAAGTTGGGCGCTCTGTGGTTGGCCACGTGCAAGATCGTCACCCTAAAGAGTTGCCTTGCAAAGGGTGAGAAGATGACTCAGAACATGGGGTGTAGGGGAGTTCAATTAACAGATCTAGGCAGCTGCAGGACAGATAGTCATTTCCATTTGTGGGAAGTTTAGAACAGTAATTGTTTGCGCTGTTTAGCTTTTGGCCATTTGATTTCTGGAAGTCTAGGTTAACTGACTCCTTAGATACTGCTTGAGCTCTTTTTTTGTTTCTTTTTTTTTTTTTTTTTAACACGACAGTAAGATTTTGGAAGAGAGAAACATTTCGTATGAGGTTTCCTGAGAAGTATTCTAGGGTGTGTGTGTGTGTGCATGGACAGATAAAAAGCTCTTAATAAAAATGTAAATTGTTATTGCAAAGGAGAATTATATCTTTATGAATATATCAAAGAAAATTATTCTAGTTTGTTCAGTGACATTGTTTTCCTACAGATTAATATAAAGAAGAACACAAACAGTTCACTGAAAAGACCTCAGGATAAAAGTACCAAAGCAGGGTCTGTGAAGAAGGAGAAAGTTGTGAAGAAGGAAGAGGGTAACTATGTAATCAGATTTCTGGCTGTAATTGCCTTATACCCAATAAGTTCAAAACTTTGGCTTTCAAAGCATGTTGTGAATGTGCCTTCAAAGTTTCTTCTCCCACACCACCTTTTCCTCCCTGTCCCAAGAGGGCAGTGCATATAGCTACACACCTGTGGACTCCTGGGGAGACCATGCCATTTTTGTATGAGGAATATGACGTTGTGACCCCTATCTTTGGGTTCTCTCTATTTAATGTTAATTTTGAACAGTTGATAGCAGCCTAGTGAGTCTGTGCTGACCAAGCTTTTTCAGTGCTACCATGATGCAAATGATTGTATTGGTAAAATGTGACTTTTTGCAAATGTATCTGAACCATTGAACTTCCTGTTCAGTAATGGCCGAGCTTTTGAACCTGGGCTGTAGAGTGTGAAAATTACTTTAGTCCCTCAGATGTTCTTAAACTTACAGAAGTTCCATGGAACAACTTTTCTTTCCTCACTTTTTTCCCTTCTGTTTTCTTTCACAGGCCAGTTGGTGCAGCTGGAAGAGAAAGGCAAAGGCTCTGTCCCCTGGTCTGTCTATGGCATCTACATTCAGGCAGCTGGAGGCCCCTTTGCATTTCTCATCATCATGGCACTCTTTGTGCTGAATGTGGGCAGCACAGCTTTTAGCAACTGGTGGCTGAGTTTCTGGATCAAGCAAGGCAGTGGAGTAAGATTAATAGTGTTTCTACTCTTTTATGAATAAGGGGTAGGGAGATTTCTCACTGACACTATTCCTAAACAGTCCTATGGAACAAAGTGGTACTTCATAATGTAAACAAGATATAAGGCTCCCTAAGAGGTAATCTTATCAGAGAGAAGTTATCTCCAAGAATGAGAGTTCCATTAAAAGAAAGATGTAACAGCTTGTGAAGTCTTATGGGGCCCTTTTGTTCTTTCTTAGTTGGCCTAAGAAAAGGAAGGGAAAATATAAAGGGAGCCAACAAGCTGCAAGAGGGAGTTACTGATTTTAGTGACTGTGTTAACTTGAATGTGACCTTACACCTAACAGGGTAATTCTTTCTTGTCAAAGTTTATGGCTTCAAGTCAAATGACTAGTGGGAGTTTCTTTGAAGAATATGATGACCTGGGATGTTTTGGGATTCTTCCCGCTCTAGGGACTTCGATTGTGAGTCTTGTAGCTTTTAAAGATCCAAATTTAGCAGAATTAAAGAAAAACCCCTCAGAGAATGGATAATGAAGCACAGATGGCCAGCAAGGCTTAAATAAACAATGGGAACCTTAAATATACTGAAGGATTTAAAAAAAAAAAAAAAAAAAAAGGAGAGAGAATTAGAATCTGTAACTGTTCCAGTACAGAATGTTATTGGGCTCCTGGCAGAAAATAACAACAGTATTTGATAAGACAGCTCGCAACACATCCAAAGTGAATTGTCCTGTGGAATAGGAATGGTGTCATGCAGGTATCTGACACTGTTCAGAAGAGCACAAGAAATAGCAGGCATGAAATGGAAGGCTAGGAAGGAGCTGTTGCTACCACAGCATTTGCAGGAAGATAGTGAAAGAAAGTGCCTATTGCAATAGCATTGTCAAGGATATTCTAGGAAAAAGGCTGAGGAATACAAATGTGTGAGTCAAGTACCTGTGTTAGGGAAAGCTTTCTGAAATATTCATGGTTCATTAAAGTCGTACTGGAAAAGCATGGTTCTTTTCAGTTGATTGAATGGCTTAGGTTTGTGAGAGATAAATTATGCTGAATGATTTGGCATGATTGTTAAATGAAAACATAACTTACCTGAAATACAGCTCAAAGAGAGATTGTGCAGTGAATAGGAATATTAAAAGTATTTAGAGTTAATTATTTGAAAAATGAAAAAAAAAGTGCTTTAAGATTTGAGTTATTTCTGGTTAATATGGTTTAAGATGCATCCACATATTCTGGAAATTTTGCGCCTTCTGTGTTTGCAGTATTTGATCACTGGCACTGTTTAAAGTCAGAGTAGAGTCAGAAATGCCACAGGTCTGACCTTACTGGCAATTTTTATGTGAGAAGGCTGATTTAGTACTTGGTACAGTTTCACAAGAAAAAAAAATGCTGTGTAATCATTCCAAATAACCACCTGGCTAATGAATTAATGGAGGTGATTGGAATTAGTGTGTTTTTAATGGCAGTTTGAACACATCAAGTGTGATCTATGCATTGGTGCTGTATGAAGAATTGAAACAGTCATATTGTACTAAGGCAGTTTAGAAGAAACCTTGGGAATTAGGGCATTTTCCTGCTATCCTGTTACGTGAATGCATTCTAGCCAGCACCTGCCACATAAGAGATGTCTCTTCTAAGAGATGCCCAGTGAAATCAGTTATCAAATTGGTCTGCAGTGTTTCATGAGAGAGAAGCCTCCCACCACTTGAAAGCAATTGGGGTTGCTCTGGTTTGAGCGCTGTGAGCATGAGACAGAGACACCTTTTCAGGAAGCACCGGTCCCTTAGGAAAGGAATGCCTGTGATTTGAGAGCCATCCTGAAATTCTCCCAGTAACCTATAGATCTTTGAGTCTAATATATGACGTGCAAAAGGTGAAAAAAAAAGAGTGTAGGTGCTGCTAAATTAGCTAACAGTGGAGAAAAGCATCTGAGCCTGTTTATGATTCTGCTCTTAAATACTGAACTTGTGCGCAGCTGCATTAAGCATGAAAGGGGCTATGTGTCTAAGTCGAGTGGTGTTTCCTCTGGGCTCTGCAGCAGCTCAGTGGACACTGTGAGACTCACTGAAACTCGGGTGAGAAGCCAGCGAAGTGCACACAGACCGAAAAACGGCCCAAACAGAACTTAGTACCTAGGCAGACCACTCTTCTCTGAGAGACTTCCAGATTTCAAAATTGGGATGTTTCTGTTTTTCTAAAATGGCAACAGATTTTTCACCATAATTTAAAATAAAAAGTAAAGAGCTTTCTTTAAAGAAACGTCAAAAATAATGAGGGGACAACAGTTAAATTCCACAATGTATAAACAGTTACTTGCTTAATCCTTCTCTTAACCAACTATTCACTGAACTCTTCAATTTCTCGCAGAACACCACTGTGACGTTGGGAAATGACACTGTCTTGAGCAACAGTATGAAAGATAATCCTCACATGCATTACTATGCTGGCATCTATGCTCTGTCCATGGCAGTCATGTTGATCCTGAAGGCGGTTCGTGGCGTTGTCTTTGTGAAGGTGGGTGCCAGCACCATGTGTTGCTTTTCTATTCCCTCTCTCTCCCCTTCTGCCAACTTCTCTGAATACAGAATTGTTGTTGCTAGTGTTTTTTGGGCCACCTCCCACAGACTTCTGAACCTAAGGAAGTTAGACTGTGGGTGGCAAGATTTCCATCAAGTCATCTCTTGGGGCTACATCATGTTTATTGTTAAACATCTGCTTGAATTAGTAGCTTCCTTCTACTGGTTGGAAGCCCAGAATGCAAGAAAAAAAAAATCTATACTTACAGTTTGAGAGTGAATATCAGTGAAATGTCTTGTTTTCTGATGTGAAGGCAAACATGACAGGCAGACACCTTCTGGTAATACTGTAATGTTTGCTATGTTACAGGGAACTCTCAGAGCGTCCTCAAGGCTCCACGATGAACTCTTCCGACGGATTCTGCGTAGCCCCATGAAATTCTTCGACACTACACCAACAGGACGGATTCTTAACAGATTTTCCAAAGACATGGATGAAGGTATGTCTTTCACGACATATCAGGGCATATCAGGGTTACCCTTGTAGGAAGAAGCTGATATCCGAAGTCAGACTGTTCTCTTAAAGAAAATATGTTTTCATGCCCATAGGCTGCACATAGACACTTGGCAGTTAATGCGGAGGGGAGCTTGGAGTATCAGGGTGAAGCTGATGCACAGTAAAGCTGGTAATTAGATCAGAGTGGCATCAATGCTTTTCTTGCAAATGGACATCATTAGGAAGATCACTGGCCCTTCAAAAGATAAAAGCACACCTAATGAAAATGTTTCACATTTAAATAAGCCATAAGGAACTGTTGTCCTTGTGAATAATGCTATACTGTTGGGCTGAATTACTTTATTTAGGTTGTTTTAGTCTTCTGTTCTCAAGATGCTCCCTTCCATCTTTTCTAGTTGATGTTCGCTTGCCATTTCAAGCTGAGATGTTCATCCAGAATGTCATCCTTGTGTTCTTCTGTGTGGGGGTGATTTCTGGAGTTTTTCCCTGGTTCCTGGTGGCAGTGGGGCCCCTCGTTGTCCTGTTCACCATTCTGCATGTTGTGTCTAGGTAAGTGTACCTGACTGCTTTAATTAACAGTAGAGATGCTGTGACCTGTTAGGGACATGTGGTTCTTCAGGTATACACACAACAGTATAATCACAGCAGGCGACGGTTGTACATGTTGCTTAAAACTGTTTCTTTTCTTCTAGAGTTTTTATCCGAGAGCTGAAGCGTCTGGACAACATCACACAATCTCCGTTTCTGTCACACATTACATCTAGCATACAGGGTCTCTCCACAATCCATGCCTATCACAAAGGACAAGAATTCCTGCACAGGTCAGTCCAGATAGCTGGCAAAGAGCAGTGGTGCAAAGCAGTGCCAGAGAGGTTTGCTAACAGAGAAATGTGTTAGCAGGGGGTGTAGTTGATAGCACACATTGACTCTAATGGTGAAAGTTGTTTTGGGGGAAAAATAGAAAAGAGAAAGAGAAAACTTCCCAAAGGCCAACCCAGAAGAGCAGGAGCAGGGTCTCATATGAGTGGTCTCCTCTGGGGATTCTCTCCTGTGCAGGAGGCAGGCAGCTCTTTAGCCATGATTTCCTCCTAGTATTACAGGCTTTTTCAGCAGGACCTGCTCATACTTCTTTTAGATTGTTTTTGCATTTAATGCTCTTAGAATTTGTGCAATGCCAGTTAGGCCTCAGTGTCGATATGATGAGTTTAAATCTTTTTGCACCTGTGTTATTGGATTGCATTTATCAAGTTTTTAAGTGACTACAACTATCTTGAGCATTGTGCTTCGTTTTCTCCACCGTAAACCTAAATCTGCAAAACAAGAAGTGAAAGAAACCGAGATGTTTCTCAGGCTGCTGGTGGTTGCTTCCCATGAGAATGTGCTGTAACAGTATCAGCGTTTTGAAGCTGCAAGGTCATCAGAACAACAGCTTGGGGAACAGAGAAAACTGCCATAGCAGTTTGAATGGAAGGTTACAGAGTTGCTATCGCTGTCCCTTGGCACAGCTGATGCTGGGGCACTGGGGCCCTTCAGGCACTTGTGCAACTGGCTCGTGTGACACTGTGTTGCAGCATCAGAAGAGCTGGTTTGCTGGCTTTGTGAATCTCTCAAGCCATCTCCCTCTAAACATTCTTTCTCAGCTTCACAGATTCAGGATTGTAAATGAAATGGTTACTAGTGTGTTTTAATTAGTGTTACCAGTCCAATCCTGTAACTTAACTTTTACCCCTTTGTGTAAAATATTACATATCCTATTCTTACTCCACTGCTGCTTTTATATGTGGAATAATTTCTAGGTATTCGTTGTCCTTGGGAAAATTTTGTATAGGTTGTTTGATGAAAGTGTCTGTAATGTCCCTAAACACTAATTCACCTCAGTAACTTGTACGCAGACACTTATTTTGGCAAGTCTGAAATAACTAGATACCCTACATTATTTGGGAATGTTTGTAAATATATCGATGGCTTGACATGAGACTGTATTTGCTGAAGAATTGCTAAAAACTAGTCTCCGCACTCTGAATTCTGATACCAGAGTTTTTTAGATATTTGTAGAATTTCAGGCTGGTTGCAGTCTGCTACTATCTCCTGTTTTTACGCAGGTATCAGGAGCTGCTGGATGACAATCAGGCACCATTTTACCTGTTCAGCTGCGCGATGCGCTGGTTGGCTGTACGCCTGGACATTATCAGCATCGCTCTCATTACAACCACTGGCCTTATGATTGTCTTAATGCATGGCCAGATTCCTCCTGCCTATGCTGGGTTAGCGATCTCATATGCTGTACAGGTGAGTTTGTTGTATGCTATAATATATAATGTGTGGATTTAATGTAAATAACAGTAATCAAGACCCACCTCTCCCCTCACACAGTGAAATTCTCCCATAATGAAAAAAGATAATGTTAGATCTCTTTGAAAAGGGGGTGAGAGGGGTGAAGGAAGCAAAGTGATTTATGGTCAAGAACTTTTTGCTAGCTTCGTCTGAGGAGCTAGTTACTTCAGGTTGTGGTTTTGGGGAGCTGCCTTCTAAATGCTGAATTAGGAAGCATGTGAAGCTTTCTGTAGAATGCCGCACAATTTTCCCAGATTCATGGTCCATTAGACATCTGCCGAGCTGAAGCCTTAGTGCATTGTGGTTGTATTGCCTGTGTTGTAAGTACACAGCACATAACATCCCTTACCTCAGCCCTGTGGGATTTTACACTCTGGGGCTCAGTGTGCCCATTTTGATCTGTTGTTTGGCTTTTCTGCCTCCTTGTGGTAATAAAGAGAAAATGCAAAATTTAACTTGATAATTTTCTAAGCCATTTCTTATGGGGAACTAGACTAAGCTGCTGTCTTTCCAAACGATTCATGAATTATTGTTATTTTAAACTGTTTCAGAAAGACTGCTTTCCATCAAGGCATCCAAGTTTTATTAAGTACTGATTAGATTAGTCTCTCTATACAATAATAAATTCCATCACAGCTCTCTAAACTTTTGTCTGTTTCTTCCCATTGCTCTAGTTAACAGGATTATTCCAGTTTACAGTCAGACTTGCTTCAGAAACAGAAGCTCGCTTCACCTCAGTGGAGAGAATTGATCACTACATCAAGGTATGACAACGATGCTTCTGACTGCATGTTGTAAAATTTCTTGTTGCTGTCGATGTTGTTGGCAAAAGGAAGTTGTCTGTGGTCTGCCTGCATACAGAAAGTGTTTCGGATCTTACACTACAGGTAAAAGTGTTTGCAACACTCTAGAGTGGATTTGTGACACCTGTGCTTTTGCAAATAGTGCCTGATATCTCCCATTGTGAGGTTGTAGTATTTGCCACTTCCAGGCTTTCGGTGGCAAAATGATAGCTGTAGGCTGTTTGAACATCTATGATTATGGCTTACTTACTAAGCAACACTTTCCACAACTTTTCTTATCTTGGTCTCTAGATAACAATGTTATTATGGAACAGTATAAAACAAGTTTGACTCTAAAATGAAGGGTGGTCAAACAGTGAAACATCCTGCACGTTGTGCCTTACCAAGTCCTAGGTTTGATTTCTTTCCCTGTGGGAGCAGATACTGCTTTTGTCGGCACCAAGATCTGGAGTGCTGTTGTAAAGGAGCAGCGTTTCTGTCAAATCTTCAGAGTGTAATTAATCTGCCTTTAACTTGAGGTGCTGCAAGTGTCCACAACTGACAGAGTCCTTGCAGCATCACTCTATAGTCAGTTTAGGAAATGGCAGCTTCCAGAGGGCAATTCATCCAACCTATTCTAGACACTATATTACAATGAGGAAGAACATGCTCCTGAAATGCTAGTTTCTTTATAGAAACTATAAAGGAGTTGATTTAAGTCCTTTCTTTCTAGGTGTGCAAAGTTAATCTCCTGCTAGGATTTGTTGTTCACTCAGAGACTGCTGGTGCCAAACATGGGAAAGTGACCTTGGCTCTTTCTAACCTGAAGGTGTATGCTTGATTGCTTGATTTTCAGACTTTTTTTTTTTGTTTCCCCCTGTTTCATCTGAACTGCTTAACCAGGAACCTATTAAAGGTCAGACCTGAGATACATGATTGTGGCTTGCCATAATGAGACACAGAAATTCTGCAGGTAGCGCTTCCAGAAGCCAGTCAGTCTTTGAAACTTCCACAAACTCATAAGAATTGCCCCAATAAATAATACAGTTAAGAGAGATTTCAAAATGGGTTACATAAAAGCATTGTTGTTGAAGGCTGGCATTGTCATGGGAGCAGCAGGAGGGGAATAGCAGTGTGTTGAGTGTAACGCAGGAAACCAGTAAGAGATTGGGATATCCCTTCTGACTCACTGGGCCAGCATCCAGCCACACTGCTAATCGTAAACTGCCATTACACTGACATG